ATAAAGTGGAGGAGAGTTAGAATGAGAAATACCATGATATGCTCTGTTCATCACCTCTCTCAGAGAGTCTTGTCAGGTCCCAAGGAGCCTGTCCTGCCCACACCTTCTCGGAGCCACTGTGTTGAATGGTGGTAGTTGTCCACAGAAATGTGGATAGATCCAGGTGATAGCCTGACAATTCGTGCAGAACTCAGGCCTCAGAAGCCCAAGAAGTTCTCTTGTCTGCCTCTTCCAGGCACATCCAAAAACAAAATGCCAAAGTGGAGATCCTGCCCCTAATGTCTTTGGTTCTTCTTAATGAGGGAGTTGGTAGATCCCATGGCTTTTCTGAATTTTAATTTCCTCATCCATAGGATGGAAATAAAAATACAGCCTCGTTGCCTTTTGTGGATACAAATTAAGAGGCCCAGAACCTTTTAACCTTTGCAAATTTGTTACTGAGGTTTTCTAGAGTTTCCCAGTTGGATTAAATTAGGATCATGACTGGTGTGGTTGCTTTTCCTTGGCTGAAAGAAAAATACCACCATTAACCTTTAATTATTCACCACAAATCCAAAGGAAAAGTCCTTGGCCCAGATCCTAATGGAACTGTTAAAGCTATTTTCCTACTCAGAGTTTAAACAGTTGGTAAGCTGGTTTAAATAACCCGGTACTTTTTTTCTATTGCTTTTCTCCACAGAATGAGAAGGACCAAAAGTGAACGCTCCCTACCAATGCATGTTAGGGCAGGTGCCAAACTTCTTTACCTTTTTGTTTTCTTGATTTACTCTTTCTTTTTTTTAAATGTTTATTCATTTTTGAGAAAGAGAGAGAGAGAGAGAGAGCGCAAGTGGGGCGGGGCAGAGAGAGAGGGAGACAGAAATCGAAGCAGGCTCCAGGCTCTGAGCAGTCAGCACAGAGCCTGATGCAGGGCTCAAACTCATGAACCGTGAGATCATGACCTGAGCTGAAGTTGGATGCTTAACTAACTGAGCCACCCAGGAGCCCGATTTACTCTTTCCTCCTACTGTTCTCATTTGGTAGTATTATTGATGTGTGTGCATGTGTGTGTGTGTGTGTGTGCATGGGCACACGTGTGTATGTGTGTACAGGAATGCTTATATGTGGTCTGTTTAGAGGGAGACAGACTTTAGAAGCACACAATGGTAACACATGGTGTGTAACCCCCTCCCCCAACCTCAGACACACACACTCCAGGAAAGACCAAGAGAATAAAGAAAGAAAAAATTAAAATAAACTGAGACGAAGATAGGCAACGTGGAAAAGCCTACGTACAAAACCCAAGTTTTTCCTTTTCTCAATTTCATGCTGTCTTTTTTCCTTTTTTACTGAATTCGGGATTTTTTTCCCTTCTCATTTCTATACGTCTCTTTTCTCTCTCTGTGCCCTCATTAACTCAACCTCATTAACACTTCCAAAACCAGAAGTCATTATCCTGACACCATCCGCTGCCCTCAAGTCCTACTTCTCTGTCTGAATTCCATCTGTTCTCAGGTTCCACTTTAGGTCAGCTGCCTAAGTTAAAAAAAAAACCAAAAAACCAAAAAACTCAGAATCATTCCTTATTTTTAAAATCTGCTTTATCAAGATGTAATTGACCTGTAACAAAACCTCGCCCATTTTAAGTGTTCAGCTTAACTCATTTTCCAGAAATGTATGTAGTCATATAACCATCAGTATAATTAAGACATAAAATATTTCCATCACTCCAGAAAGTTTTCTTTCTATCACCACAGTTTTGCCTTTCCTGGAATGTCATATAAATGGAATTAAATGGTAGGTAGTCTTTTGTGTCTGGCTTCTTTTCTCAGCACGTTGCTTTTGAGCTTTGTCTATGTTGTTGCACGTACTGGTAGCTCATTCATTTTTATTGCTGAGAAACATTGTACTGTTCAGAAACATCACAGTTGTTTGTTTATCCATTCACCTGTTGATGGCCATTTGCATTGTTTTCAGTTTGGGGTTATTGTGAATTAACAGCAATGAGTATTCACATATAGGTCTTTCATGGACATATATTTTCACTTCTCTTGGGAGTAGAATTTTTGTTTCATTTCTAGGAAAGAATTGCTGGGTTGGATGGTAAGTGTAGTTTAACTTTATAAAACATGAATAAAGTGTTTTTCAAAGGGAGTCCATTATTTTCATTCCCACCAGCAATGTATGAAACTTCCAGTTGCTCCATATCATTGTCAACACTTTGTATGATCAGTTTTTAAAATTTTACAATTTTGTGGGGTGTAGTATTACCCCATTGTCCTTTTAATTTATATTTTCCAGATGACTCGTGTTGTTGAGCATATTTTCACGTGCTCATTTGTCTTAAGTATAACTTCTTTGGTAAATTGTCCAGATTCTTTGCTCATTTAAACATTGGGTTGTTTGTTTTCTTATTATTGATTTTGTAAGAGTTCTTTACATATTCTGTATATAAGTCCTTTATCAGATACATATTTTGCCTATGAAAGTAACCTGAAATACAGAGTCATGAACAAGTTTTTCCCATCAATGTTATTTACAATCATGATGAAATTGGAAGCAAGTTACAATCTAATAAAATGAAGCTTGTCTGCTTCCTTATGATTCAAAGAAATATTTTACAGTCATTTAATGATATTACAATTGTAAAGATTTGAAAACTTGCTTTTGATATAATTTTAAGCAGAAAATAAAATTACATATAATATCAGCCATGCATTTGAAAAGCCTAGAAGTATGTGCTGAAATAATAAGAATGATAGTCTTATTTTCTATATTTTTCAAGATGTATACAGCAGCATGCCTTAGTTAAAAAAGGAAAAGCATCCAGGGTGCCTGGATGGCTCAGTTGGTTAAGTGTCTGACTCTTGATCTCAGCTCAGGTCTTGATCTCAGGATTGTGAGTTCAAGCCCTGTGTTGGGCTCTACACTAGTCATGAAGCCTACTAAAATAAAATAAAATAAAATAAAATAAAATAAAATAAAATAAAATAAGATTAAATTAAAAGGAAAAGCATCTCATAAAGTACATGGTTAAAGGAGTGGTTCACACTTCCTTTACAAGCTCACCTGAATTTTGGCATGATTTGTGATACCATTAGTACCAAGTGAGTTTGTTAATTGCTTCACAGACTGCCCAAGAGCTTTGAACTATAATTCAAGCTCTGTCCTTGAACTCTAGGCAGTTCTCTTTCCCATCTAAAATGGGATTCAGGGGGCACCCGGGTGGCTCAGTGGGTTAAGCTTCTGACTTCGGCTCGTGGGTTCGAGTGCTGTTTCGGGCTCTGTGCCAACAGCTCAGAGCCTGGAGCCCGCTTCGGATTCTGTGTCTCCCTCTCTCTCTCTGCCCCTCCCTTGCTCGCACTCTGTCTCTCTCTCTCTCTCCCCCTCTCTCAAAATAAATAAACATTAAAAAAAAAATTAAAATGGGATTCAGAACTGTGAAGTATCTAGCAAGGTTGCCTTGTAGCTTTCTGAGGAACTGCTTCCCAAGTATGTGCTCTAAAATATGCAAAACTTCCTGAGCTTATGTTCAATGACTTGGGAAGAACTTGAGCAGTCAAACATGACTTTTTTTTAATACTTAGAAGAGAGAAAATCTGTGTTTGTCAATAGAGAACAAGACCAAAGAGATGCGGACCCAGAGAGCTGTAGGGAACACAGTATAGGCAAAAAGAAAAGCTTGGGTTGAAGAAGATATTGGAGCTAAGAAGAGGACAGACAGGAGGGGAAAGAGGAAATGGAGGAAAGAATGGAGAATGGAAGCAAACAGGTCTCTGCACTGAGAAAGTTCAGACTCTGAATCAGAACTTTGTAGATACATTTTACCCCTGTGAAGTCTTAGCCGGTAAATAATTTGTAACTTTTTACTCATTTTCATTTCTCCTTCCGAAGTTGTTATCTTATGAAGCCTGGAAAGAAAGCACATTTACTACTGGGTTTATTGAGAAGAAGGAACTCAGATGTCAGAAGAAGGCAATTTCCTAAGGTAATATGTCTTGAGGTCAATGAATCAGCTCACAGCAGAGATATTTTTGAACCTGGTCAGTTACTTTACCTAAGGCAGGTACAGTATATATGTTTGCTGATGAGTCACCCATGAAAACAAGAAATGATATTTAAATGATTATTCAGAAAATCTAGTAGAGGCTTGTTTTATTTTTTAAAAATTTGTTAGCCAATAAAATCTAACCAAGATTTTTTTTTTTGTTTGAAGCTTGATATGATGGAAATGCAAGGGGCCAAGAATAACCCACACAATTGTGAAGAACAAAGTATAGGAGGGTTTCCTCTACTGGATATTTATATGTACTATAAATAATTTTGGCACAAGGATGGACATACTGACCAGTGGAATAGAATATAAATCTGGAAAGAGATCCATGTATATGTGGATATTTTAATTATGACAAAAGAGGCATTGCAAAAAAAAAAAAATGGCACTGCAAAGCAGTAAAGATAACTTTCAATAAAAGGTGCTGTGACAATTGGATAATTATGAGGGGAATCTTGACCCCTACCTTACACCATACATAAAAATTCATTCTAGACGTATCATAGACATAAATCCGAAAGGCAAATAGAGCTTCTAGAGGGCTATATAAAACAAAAGCTTCATGACTTCAAAGTAGAGAAAGATTACTTAATAAGTACTAGCCATAAAGAAAAAGATTGATACATTTGAATACATTAAAAATTTAAACCTCATTAAAGATAAGAAAAAACTTTTTATTTTTTTTATTTTTATTTTTTTTAAATTTTTTTTCAACGTTTTTATTTATTTTTGGGACAGAGAGAGACAGAGCATGAACGGGGGAGGGGCAGAGAGAGAGGGAGACACAGAATCGGAAACAGGCTCCAGGCTCTGAGCCATCAGCCCAGAGCCCGACGCGGGGCTTGAACTCACGGACCGCGAGATCGTGACCTGGCTGAAGTCGGACGCTCAACCGACTGCGCCACCCAGGCGCCCCAAGAAAAAACTTTTTAAATAGGACACAAAAGAACTAATAATAAAGAAAAAGGTGGATTAATTTGGCATTTATTTAACATTATAAACAATATAAATTTAACATTAATATTAAGAACTATTCATTAAAAGATATGGAATATGGATAAGATATTTGTAACACTTACAACTTACAAAGAGCTCAAGTATGGAATATTTAAAGAGATTCTACAAACCAATAAGAAACTGACAGCCAACCCAAAAGAAAAATGGGTAAAAGACTTGAACAGACATTTTTTTGGGGAGAAAAAAAAGGATAACTAATGGATAACAGACATATGAAAAGATACTTAACATCACTAATAATCAGGGCAATGTAAATAATATAACAAGACACCATGAATGGCTAAAATTAAAAGACCAGCCCTACCACAACTGAAGTTGTGAACAAGGAATACTTTTATCTGCTGCTACAGGAGTGTAAGTTAGTATGATACTTTAGAAAATTCTTGATAGTATCTAATAAAATTGAAGTTACATATAACTTACAAATACTGATATCATTGATAGGAAATATACCCAACAAAATATGCATACATGTTCTCTATAAGACATATACAAGAATGATCATAGCATCTCTGTTTGTAATCATCTCAAACTGGAAACTGCCTCAAAGTCCATCAACAGAAGAATGAATAAACAAAGAGCATGTATATTCATATAATACAATGCTATTAAGCAAAGTAAAAACAACAGCTATACATAACCTGTATGAGTCTTAAAAATATATTATTGAATAAAAGAGACCAGATCAACAAGAATATATATTGCATCATTCTATTTATATAAAGTTAAATACAGGCAAAAAAAAAAACAAAAACAAAAACACACTGTTTAGGGTTCCACACTTAGAAGATAAAACTATACAGATAAGCAAGAAAATAGTTATCACAGAAGTTAAGGTTATAATTATCTTTGAAAAGAAAAGAAATACTGATTGGGAGCAATGACTTTGGGGATTTTTGGAGTATTGGCAATTTTGGAACTCTTGATCTGGGTATTGCTTTGTGAAATGTCAGCAAGTTGTTTCATAGACTTTACTGTTTGTGTATCAGACGGGCCCTAGAAGATAGAGAAAATTTTGAGTAAACCAATAACCATAGAAGATGGTAGCCAAAGATCTACTTCCTAAAATGAACCATATCTTGTGGGTCTATGTTTAGATTCTTTTTTTTATGTTTATTTATTTATTTTTGAGAGAGAGAGAGAGAGAGAGAGAGAGAGAGAGAGAATCCCAAGCATTGAGCAGAGCCCAATATGGGGGCTCAATGTCATGAACCATGAGGTCATGACCTAAGCCAAGATTAAGAGTCAGACGCTTAACCAACTGAGCCACCCAGACATCCCCGTTTATATTCTAACAAACTTTTGGGGCACCTGGGTGGCTCAGTCGGTTGAGCATCCGACATCCCCGTTTATATTCTAACAAACTTTTGGGGCACCTGGGTGGCTCAGTCGGTTGAGCATCCGACTTCAGCTCAGGTCATGATCTCATAGTTCGTGAGTTCGAGCCCCGCATCGGGCTCTGTGCTGACAGCTCAGAGCCTGGAGCCTGCTTCCAATTCTGTGTCTCCCTCTCTCTCTGTCCCTCTCCCCCTCATGCTCTGTCTCTTTCTCTCAAAAATAAATACACGTTAAAAAAAATTTTATATTCTAACAAACTTTCGAGGAACAAATGTTTCCTATCTTATACAACTGTTCCTGTGCTGGCATCATCTTATAACAGAACTACATAAGAAAATCAGAAGAAATTAAAAATACAAGTTAAGCTCACTTGTAAAAAGATCCCAGCATTCTAAATAAAATACACTTGACCCTTGAACAACATCAGTTTGAACTGCATGGGTCCACGAATACAGGGATTTTTTTCAATAAATATATGTAAAGTACTGTAAATGTATTTTCTCTTCCTTATGATATCCTTAATAACATTTTCTTTTCTCTGGCTTACTTTATTGAAGGAATACAACATATAATACATATAGCAGTCACAATATGTTTCAATAGACTGTTTATGTTATCAGTGAGGCTTCCAGTTAACAGTAGGCTATTAGTAGTAAGTTTTTTGAGAGTCAAAAATTATACACAGATTTTCAACTGCACAGGGGTTAGCACCCCTAATTCCCTTGTTGTTCAAGTCAAAACTTGCAATTCATTAAAAGAATAATAATTATGATCACATAAGATTAATCCTAGGAATGAGGGGCACCTGGGTGGCTTAGTCGGTTGAGCATCCAACTCTTGGTTTTGGCTTAGGTCATGATCCCAGGGTCATGGGATTGATTGTGCCCTGCATCAGGCTCTCTGCTGAGCATGGAGACTGCTTCAGATCCTCTCTCTGTCCCTCTACCCATCTCCCCCATGCCCTCTCTCCCTCTCTAAAAAAAAACATATGAAAATGGTAATAATAGAAAGGTTTATCGCAGGAATGAAAAGGTGTTACAACACCAGAATACCTAGAATGCAATCCACTGGAAAAGCAAAATAAAAGAGGAAGATGATATGATCACCACTCAGTAGACAACACAGAAGCACAGATCCATACCACACATAAATGGATTATTATTCCCATTTATGAGATATTATTCACCCATGAAAAAGAATGATGGAACAACGCTGAAAACATTATGCTAAGTGAAAGAAGACGAAGCCACAAATTATATGGTTCTATTTATATGAAGTGTCCAGAATAGGCAGATCCACTGAAACAAAAGTTTTCTACCCCAGTTGTAACAGAAAAACACACCTCAAGCAAGTGTCATTCCAGAAATGCAAGTCTGGCTCATTACTGGGATTTATTTTAATGTGCCACTGAATTAATAGATCAAAGGAGAAAAACAATACAATCATCTCAGTAAATACTGAAAAGCCACTTAGCAGAATGGAACATCCATTCCTGATTAAACAAACAACCCAAAATCAAAACAAAACCCAGAAAGTCTTGGTATCTTAGGAATAGCCAGATTTTTTTTTTCCATCATAAAAATCTGGCATCATACTTTAATTCCCATGAAAGTAAGGAAGAAGATATCATACCTTAATAGTGTTCTGAAGATCCTAACCAACATAATTCAGTAAGGAAATAATTTAAGAGGTAAAGTACTTCTTAAAGTAAGAAAGATGTATTATTTGAAATGATATAAAAGAATAACTAGAAATCTGAAGAGAATAGGCCAAAGAAATCCTAGAAAGTTGTGGGAAATTGCAAGAATGGCTACACTATTTTGCAGCTCTTCTCAGAAGTGGAGTTTATTTCTCCACACATTGAATCTGAGCTGGACCATTGACTTTCTTTAGGATAATGGAACATTGGTAAACATGATGCAAGCAGAAACTTGCAAAGTTATTATGCAATGGAACTTGCCCTCTTTAACCATTTTAAGGAACTTCAAAACCACTATTCTGTGAATTGAGCCTACTGCTAGCCTGCTGGGTGGTGAGAGACATATGGCTAAGTCACCCCACAGTCCCAGCGGACACAGAACCAACTACTAAACACATAAATGAGTAAGGCCATCCTGGACTAGCTATATTAGCTAAGGTGTCAATTGACTGAAGAGATAAACCAAGCTGGCCTAGACCAGAAGAACAACAGTTGGCTCACAGAGGTGAGAGAAATAACAGATGCTTGTTATCTGAAGCTACTAAACTTTGGGGTGGTTTGTTATGCAGCAAAAGCTAACTGGAACAGAAATTATATAAATGTTTATTTTTTAATTTTTAAATTTCTTAAAATGTTTATTTTTTACTTTTATTATTATTTTTTTAAATGTTTATTCGCTTTTTGAGAGACAGAGACAGAGTGTGAGCAGAGCAGGGGCAGAGAGAGAAGGAGACACAGAATCTGAAACAGGCTCCAGGCTCTGAACTATTAGCACAGAGCTGGATGCGGGACTCGAATTCACAAACCATCAGATCGTGACCTGAGCCAAAGTCAGACACTCAACCGAATGAGCCACCCAGGCACCCCTATTTAAGAATTTATTAAAGTGGTTGGTTTCTTTTTGTACAATTAATACACAGAATTGATACACTGTTAGAAAATACAACAGAAGAAAAGATCTCATTTACAATAGCAATACTACCACCAATTTATCTGAAAATAAACTTAACCAGAAATAGGGAGGACCTAAATAAAGAAAATGTAATATCTCTGTTATAAGATATTATTTCTTTATAAATTAATCTATAAACTCAGTGTGGTCTCAATCAAAAAAATTTTAAACATTAAAAAAAGATACCGAGTTTATCTGTAGAAATAAACAGGAAAATCTGAACAGAAAGATATTGGCAAGAAGGTGGTCAGATTAGATACTTAAATGCATTTTAAAGAGACTAGCTTAAAAAATTTGGTTCTAGAAAAAATTTAGATAGATCAATGGAATAACATAGAGAATCCAGAAATAGACTGAAATACACATGAGATTTTAGTCGATGATAGGTGACATTTCCAAATCACGGGAGAAAAGATGGATTATTTAAAACAGTGTTGGGACTGTTTAGGGGAAAAAATTAAGCTGTATAACCCCACTCATTTCATCAAAGCAAATTCCCAAAGGAAAGTAATAAAATGTTAAAACGAAACTAACAAAGGTACCGGCAATAAAGAAGCCAGATAGAAAAGGCCACATATTGTATGATTCCATTTATAGGAAATGTCCTGAAAATCCATAGAGAAAGTAGATTACTGATTTGCCAGGGGCTGGGGGGACAGGAAATGGGGAATGACTGCTTAATGTATATGAGGTTTTTTGGGGGGTAAAGAAAAAGCTGTAAAATTAGTGGCAATGGTTGCACAACTTTGGAAACACCAAAAACCACTGCATCATACACTTTTATTTTATTTATTTATTAAATTTTTTTTTAATGTTTATTTGTTTTTGAGAGAGAGACAGAGCATGAACGGGGGAGGAGCAGAGAGAGAGGGAGACACAGAATCAGAAACAGGCTCCAGGCTCTGAGCTGTCAGCACAGAGCCCGATGTGGGGCTCAAACTCACAAACTGTGAGATCATGACCTGAGCTGAAGCCGGACGCTCAACCGACTGAGCCACCCAGGTGCCCCTATTTATTTATTTAAAAAAAATTTTTTTTAAATCTTTATTTTTGAGAGAGACATATGGAGTGCAAGCAAGGGAGGGGCAGAGAGAGAGGGAGACACAGAATCCGAAGCAGGCTCCAGGCTCAGAGCTGTCAGCACAGAGACTAACGCAGGGCTGGAACTCAGGAACTGCAAGATCATGACCTGAGCTGAAATCGGACACTTAACTGATGGAGCCACCCGGGTGCCCCTGCACTGTACACTTTTAAACAGCAAATTTAGGGGCGCCTGGGTGGCGCAGTCGGTTAAGCGTCCGACTTCAGCCAGGTCATGATCTCGCGGTCCGTGAGTTCGAGCCCCGCGTCAGGCTCTGGGCTGATGGCTCAGAGCCTGGAGCCTGTTTCTGATTCTGTGTCTCCCTCTCTCTCTGCCCCTCCCCCGTTCATGCTCTGTCTCTCTGTCCCAAAAATAAATAAACGTTGAAAAAAAAATAAAAAAATAAATTAAAAAAAAAACACAGCAAATTTAATAGTATGTCAATTTTATCTCAATAAAACTTACATTTAGAGAAGATAAAGAAGGAGAAGAAGAAAGAACCCAGAGACTGGAGAGTCCACAGGGGACTCTGACCCCAGGTGTTAGGTCAGGGACACTGGAGCTGGGTCTGGAAACAGATGTTATAATGTTATGTTTTGAAGGAGCAGATGTTACAATTTATAGGTGAGCTGGGGAGAAAAGGGATTAACCTCTCTTGGCTCTGATGATTCCATGACTCTGCTTTTTTCCAAGAACTGAGGACTCTGTATGCCCTGGATAATCATTTTAAACTTACTATATTGTTTTTGGGTTGAGGGGTGACCAGTGGTTCAGTCGGTTAAGTGTCCCACTCCTGATTTCGGCTCAGGTCATAATCTCAAAGCTCGTGGGATCGAGCCCCATGTTGGGCTCTGTGCTGTTAGCACAGAGCTTGGGACTCTCCTCTTTCTGCTCCTCCCCCACTTGCGTGCACGCTCTCTCAGAAT